AAACAGCTCATCTTTTTAAAAATACATTACAATACATTTATTTTTTTTTGTCATAAATCCTTAACTTTTCGAAGAAACTTGAAGAGATCAAAAAGTTAGTAAATGAATGGGGTTTTTTAGACATATTTTTTAAAAGGAAAAAATTTTATCGAAAAAAAAATTATAAGAAAAAATGTCATAGGGGTTGATTATTTCAACCCCTTACAAAAATAGTTCAGGGTTGAAAAAATTTCAAAAAGTGTAGTTTTATTGACAGATAATGTTCACCAAGTTTGGTTTCTTTAGCTTGATGTACGTGGAAGATAAAAAAGAAAAACAATTTTTTTTTGTAATTTTAGGAGGGGCGTAACTTTTCAGGGGAGGGTTTTTTCAAAAAATTTTATACCAAAGACCCCTATTAATTTTCATCGGAGAATCGCCCCTTGAATTTTTTCGGTGTTATTTAGATACACCCTGTATATTAAATTTTGTTTGTAAGGAAAATGTTGCGTTTATTATTTATGCAGATTTCGAATGCTTACTTAAGCCATTTAATGATGATCGTCATTGTAAAACATGCAGATATCAGAAAGGTATTTTTTTAAATGCACTTATAACAATGACTTGTATTATAAAAGTGCTTAGGATTTAGATTGTATGTCTTGGTTCGGGAAGGAATTACACAATATAAAAAAATTGGTCTTTTCTAAATTAAAATACGTAGGACCCATGAATACTAAAGTTAGTTTACGGGATGCCAGTAAAACTTGCCATATCTTCGAAGAGAAATTTAAAGATAAATTTCTTGGGGATCATTGCCAGCCTTCTGGAAACTTCAGGGGTTTTGCACACAATAAATGTTATTTAAATTACAAACATTTCTTTATAATTCATGTGATATTTCATAACCTCCGAGGTTCTGAAATACGCAATAAGGGACTTGACGGAACGAAATTATTACTTTATTACCCGAGAATCAGGAAAAATACATTAGTTTCACAGTTCACGATGATGAAACTAAATTGAAATTTAGATTTATAGACCTTTCAGATTCATGGGTTGTTTTCTAGAAGAACAAGCTTCCACACCGGAAGATGACAAATTTGAAAACCTTAAACGCAATTTAAGGCGTAATCTTTTATGACTACTTAGATTATATTGACTGACTCAATGAAAAAAAAAACGAATCCGAGAGATTGCCTACATATTCTGGGACACCCTGTACATCAATCAGATTTATCCGCTAAAATAGTTAAAAATATAACAATATACGTAGACTATAATAATACATAGTAATAATAACCTATTTTTTCCAGTAATCAATAAAACAGATCTATGTACATAATATCATATGAAAAGACTAAAAAGGGTGTCATGAGATTAATTTTTGGACAAACGGAATATATAAACGACAGTTTATCTGTCCATCTTTATCAATGGCGGATGTGTGACGAAGAAGAAGACATCCACGTTAACTTTTGCTAATATTGCTCTATATTTGAAATATTTGTTCTATAATATCTGCTACAGTTATTTCAAGATTCCAGTCAATATGACTCCATTATTAGAGAGTTGATCCGAATCATTTGGGAATGATGAAATAGATATTGCGTTTTATCAACAAGACGCATTATTGTTGATGAGCTGCTATAACAATGAAGGAACTTTAACGAAAAATACTGCAAGTACGAGTACCATTGAATTCACCAACAGTGCTGTTATGGATTAAAAAGGATAATCTACGAGAACAGTGAGTCTAATAAAGTGCTACTTACGTATTTTAGAAATAGACGATAGTTCTCTTTTGAAAGATAGTGATCTTTCAATAGTTCTCTTACTGTTGGAGGTTGGAATTATTCCGAAGGGCAGTTGGTAACATGCGATTCAATAAAATCAACATTCCATTTAAGAATTCCTTTATAGCATTTACTTTCACGATTATAAGAGAATTGTCTTTGGTAAACAGATATTGAGATTAATTGGAACTTGAACTGATAACAATTGTTTTTAAGTATCGAACGACGACGCAATAAGTGAATTAATTACCACCACCTTAAGGTTAAATTATGTCGAAAAACTTGATTTGTTGACTCAATAAATAGCGATAGACCGCTCCTGATACCTTTCAGACAGTGGGAATTAGATTAACTGCCCTCCTTAACTAGTGGAACTACGAAAGAGATTTGGTCTATTAAAACTTGTATGACTGTGGGAAGTCCTAGATACATTATTGTAGCATTTCAAACCAATAGGAAAGACAAAGAGATGCAAGATGTCATACTATTCGATAACATTGAAATATCTAATATCAGATTAATTTTAAATTCTTAATAGTATCTAAACTTATACTTGACTACACAGGTTTCAGAAATCGAGTATCGTCATAGATTGCTTAAAAAGAAATGATTTTATAAAACATCGATGTTTACAGATTGAAAGCAAATGTCATTCCCGCAGAATACTAAGGCATATTGTATAATTGTTCAGGATCAAATTATGGATTATTTAGTTCTGAGTGGAGTCATAAGGTGTATCCTATAATAAAGGAGGATAAAAGCTATTATTTCGGTCAGAGGCTGCAGATCAATAAACAAGAAGTTGGTCTTCCCGAATTTTATCCCAACGAAATATGATTTGTTAATTTACAACAAAATATACACTATTTGCTGAAATCTCTAGTACCGCATCCTTAATCCGTGATGATTACTTAATGTAATCATAAAGGCTTGAAGTATGGTAACGGTAACGTAAGTGATCTTAATGAAATATTGCGCAGAACATATTTCTATTGAACATATTATATTTCTGTAAAAATTTACCATATTGTTTAAATCATTTTAATAATTGTAAAAAGTACATGTGTAGTTTAAGAAACAGTTTTGAGCTTTATAATTGGTGGTATTCCAGTTTAATATTTATTTTTCCCATTTAATTTATTCCCCCTTCTCTTCCATCCTCCCTTCTTTAAAATATGTTACGTTCGCTTGACCTGCAGTACGCGGGTGTCATCATCATCATCATCATCAGCATCATCATCATTATCGTGTTTTTGATACAAAATCATTTATTCAAATTACAACAATTAAAAAAATATAAAATTTTATGAAGAGAAGAATGCATGGTCTCTTTACTAAAAACATTAAGTATTGACAACGATATATTTACTGATTAGAAGGCGTTGTGGACAATTAAAACATGCAACGGTAGCAAGAAGAATTGCTCCGAAGAATGCCTGATGACGAAGTATGGGCACACTGCTGTCCCTCTAAATTGTGTAGTGACATACCTAAATGTAATATTTGCTGAAGGTATTCCCGCAAGTAATATAACATTGTGAGCTAGTTTAAAATTAAAATCTGTATTAGAAACAAAAGTGGCGGAGAGATTTTCCCCCTTTTCGATATTCCAAGCTGTTCAAGAGATATATCAACTTTTACCCTACTCCAGATGTTTTTTGCACGGCGACAGCTCAAAGCTTCCCTACTGCGTATATGGTTTCGGCTACAAGAGCCCCTCGGCGAAGACTCTCTGGTCATTGCCAACAATCTCTGGACTTCTTCAAATCAATTCCAAGAACTCTTCGGTGATGCCAACGCCATCTGCAATATGCGGGTGAAAAACCTCGAACTAACCCAACTTTGGTCGCTTCGGATGGACAAAATCCTCTGGTCATTTCCGGCCATCACTTTTTAGTCGCTCCGGATGGCACGTACCATCTGGAGCTCGGTAACCTTGAAAGTACGTTGACTAATGCAATTTACAGGGTGTAACTTAAAGTAGGGTTACTTTTTTAGTGGTAATAGTACGTGGTTCCTTAAATACTAATCTCAAATTATTTTTCAAATCAAATCCATAAATTGAATTATAATTCGTCTTCTAAAATACACAACTTTTGCCTATGCCAGAACTGAACAACTTTAGAATTAGTTGTATGTACGTGCCGTGCCCACTTATCAGTGTTGTCAGTTATTACCTATCTTTATAAGCCAACTAAAACAAACCGAGTGGCAGAAAACAAAACAACATAATTTTATAAAAACAGATCGCATTTGTATGACTTAGCGATATGTTATTTTAAAATCAGCATATTTTCTTGATGTCAGTGCTAACCAATTTTGATGTAAAAAATATGGCGTAATTTATTAAATATCTAACAATCTTCCTCGTACTCGTTTCAGGATGTTCTTTGACTTCGTGCAGCCCCGCTTCTTCAATTTCAGGTGTTCTTACATTTCGAGGTCAGATGTACGTTTTCGGACACTATCTACCAGTTTCAACAAGACAACGATGAATATTAAAAATGGTTGACTATCCAGCAACGCACGATTGGGATATCTCTGGTGATGATAAATACGTCTGGCTTGCTCTGCATTGTCATTGGCGAGGCCATACACGTAATACATTTGCACCATTTCAACATTTGCTTAATTCACCATTATTAATAAGATTCTAAAAATTAGATATTCACAGCGAACAGATTTGAACGATAGATACTTACTTCAAAATGTCAGAAATGCAATGTGACACATTCCAGGCCAACTAGGTTTATTGCAAAATTGTATTCCTCATATATAACCGGTTTTATTTTTTTAATTAAAAAACGGCGCGTCGCAGGTCGAAAACTCAAGAGAACATTTATCTTTCGAACGGGGATTTCAAAAATAATTTTATTTAGGAAAAAAACATTGGCGTATCATTTTTCTCTTTAAAAATGTCAGTCAGTGATCGTACCCACGCCACTATTAGAGCTAAAAATTAAATTTTTAATGAAAAATATGCGCCGTTATTAACTATCACTATGTACTAACTATCAATGAAATACTCACGCGGTTTTCCATCTAGAATCACACCCTTTTATATTTGCATATCATTAAGGAACACCCTGTATGTATTTCTCAAAGTTCAAAGGTAGTCTCCTTATAAATATCATCTTTATTCAAAGTTAAGTTACATGCTGTATAAATAAATGAATGAATGGTTAAATAAAAAGTAAATCTAAAATAATTTTCAACATAACTTACATGATCCCATAACGGTTATAAAGAACGAGGCCAAAATCAGAGTCCACCAAATTCCATTTTTTAAGTCATCTGAAGATACTTGGAACAAAATGCACAGAGCACACGAGAAAATGGTATAAACGAAAACTGCTCCAGTAACGGCAGTTCCAGATTCGCAGTTTCCAAAGATAGGTCCTAACCAACTATATTGTATTCTTAAGGTTCCAGTCAAATTAATAATTTCTGACGCTGGTGTAGTTAAATCGGAAGTAGTACTTGAAATTTCAGAGCTCGGAGTGGATACTGGTTTGGCGATCGGGATATCGAAGGTAGGTCTATATCTTAATATTATGACTGAAGCACTAACTATCGTGTAAGCTAATAGAGTGCCTATTGACATGAACTCCACCAGTTTTTCCAAGTCGAACAATAATGCTATTAAAGCCGAAAAAAAACCAGAAATAATTAAATTTACTAGAGGTAGCTGAGTTTTAGAATTTATATTTCCTAGAAAACTAAATAACAGACCATCTACGGCCATTGCATACATACATCTAGGCAATGAAAATAGTGATCCAAATAAAGTTGTGGTCATACCACAAATTGCCCCTAACGAAACAATATATTTTACCCAGTGTAAACCTACATGGCTGAAAGCTTCTGGAAAAGCTGCATTGGGACTAATTTCGTAATACGGAACGAGAAGTGTTAGAGCCGATGAGACTAATATATAGCCAAGAGTTACAACACCCATTGAAATAATTGTGGCCATGGGAATGGAAAACGAAGGATTTCTTGCTTCTTCGCCTGAAGTAGCTAAACTGTCAAAACCGACGAAAGCATAAAAACAAGTTGCTGCACCAGCAATTACCCCACCAAAGTTATATGGGAGGAACGTACCTAAAAAAAAAACATGTTTATAAAATACCATACTCGGTTTCAATTAAAAGTTCATAATGCACTGACGGCTTTTTTACATGAAATAACTTCTTTACGATCACTATGGAATTTAATAATACTGAAATCAGTTTTGATAACAGAAAGCTCTTCAGCCCTTGTTATGAGATGAATATTCTATAACTGTTCCACAAAAACACAATTAGTCATTAAGTGAATTAGTCATAAAATTTGATAAAACCTCATCTGATATTAGGCAATGTGCAAATAACAAGAAGTACCAGAGATAAAGCAGATATATGAAAAATATAGTATTCCGGAACGGAACAAACAACAAATCCAGAAAATATTTTGTTGGCCTTTTTTAACAACTTATCAAAAAAATTGAAGTCATCAATTTTCTGGAAAATATATTCGATGCTGAGAGTAATAATAAATGTAAAACATGATACCGATATTCAAGGTACGAAAACTTATACATTTTTAAAAGGTTCTATGAAAACGAAATATTTACGAAGAAGCGAAGATCATTACAAACAAAAATGATAAAAAATAGAATCTCAGATGATTCTCTGGATGTTCTACAGGGTGTCTGGAAAGGGTATGTCAAAAATGAAGGGATATACAGGGTGAGTCAAAATTCACTCCCCAGTGGCCGGATATACAGGGTGATTCAGTCATAATGTCATTAATTTTAACCACGTATTCGGAAAGCTTAATAAAGACAGAAAATCGGAAAAAAAAATTTTTTACTCGACTTTTANATCTACCACCATTAGCTTTTTCCGTTTATAACCGTGCACACCATTAGCATGGAAGGTTCCAGTTCATCCGACTAATTGATCATCGCTTGAGGCAATTGGAGGCAGGCAACTTGTTCCCCATTGGACTGTTGGTGAGGTGTTTTTTGTGTTGGCCAGAGGACTAAACAACATATCACTCCGTTCTGTATAAACTTTCTATTTTTTCCAGTCATCAATAGTTTATATTAATATTTATTTGAGTAACTTATTTAAACTTCCACGGAATTGCCAATTATTCCATAGGTAAAAATTTAGAGTTTACTCTAGGGTAGTTTCAATATATAAACATGAAGTGGAAAAGGTTTCTCACCCTGCCTACATGCGACTGCCGGAAAAAATTGCAAAAAATGGGCTTACTTTAATACCAAAAAAATATATATGAAGTGTGGTTACGCTTGGGCTAGCTAATTAGTGCTCTTTTCTCTGTGAATCTAAGATCGACTTTCTTCATATCCTCATACGTTGATTTGCTGAGTGTAAAAGAAATTTAATTTCCCTACATTACCACAAATTTCTAAATTTGGAAAAATAATGCCTTTTCAGTTAATGTAATTGGGTTGGAAATGAACTCAAAATCTAATTTTTTCGTTCCCATCCGTGTAACTAAGTGAAAATTAGAAGAACATGTAAATTTATTAATTGTACAAACATGGGTCGATTCGAACCGATATCAGATAATGAGAAGGAAGTAGAAAATAGTATCATTATTGCTACGTTAAAGATTTATCTAAGCTTTTAAATAATCAACTTTCTAAGAATTTATCATAAAAAGTTAAAGTTCATCATATTGTGTTTTGCATTACTACTGTAAAATTGAGTTTTCTAAAGAACTATACAGGGTGTATCTAAATAACACCGAAAAAATTCAAGGGGCGATTCTCCGATGAAAATTAATAGGGGTCTTTGGTATAACATTTTTTGAAAAAACCCTTCCCTGAAAAGTTACGCCCCTCCTAAAATTACAAAAAAAAATTGTTTTTCTTTTTTATCTTCCACGTACATCAAGCTAAAGAAACCAAACTTGGTGAACATTATCTGTCAATAAAACTACACTTTTTGAAATTTTTTCAACCCTGAACTATTTTTGTAAGGGGTTGAAATAATCAACCCCTATGACATTTTTTCTTAT